AAAACTTTTAAAAAGTGAGAAAAACGCTTGAAAAAGTCGAAAATTTCGTCATTTTTGGGCCGAAAAATTGATTTTTCGACCTAAAAATTAAATTTTAATTAAGTTTTGTAAAGTTTTTATGTTTAGGAATAGCTATAAACAATTTGTGTTGACTTCCACTATTTATATAAAAAAATAGTAGCTTCTGGGCGGAAAAAGTTTCGGTTTCCGGCCTAAAATTTTCTTTCCCCGCTTATCCCGAATTGTACCCAAAATTGAAATGTTCTATTAAGTTGTCAAATACCTTTTAATTTTAATTGCAAAAAGTTGAGTAAAAATGGGATTCGATTGATTATTTAACGGTTCTGTTTTATCACCAGGTTGGTGCTTCGCGACTTTTCAACCCTGGCCCTGTCTTACCGCATGATACTTCACTTGCATAATTCTTTGATTTCCGATGACAAAAATGAACTCGCGCTCGCCAGCCCATTATATAGGCTACCGGAACTTCTGGCGCATGCTAATTTTTTCGTAACAAAGAGGATCGCCGATTTTCCCAACAAAAACCGAATTTTTTAATGTCGAAAATAGGTAATTTTGGCTAAATCTGATCTGCGTGCAGTCATCTAAGGGCCATTACGCACCTAATGACGTATCGTACGTAGCCTAACACCCTTCCCTCTTGAGATATCCTCCGGACAGAATGACGGAAGTTACATGCAAAGTGGCACAGACACACACACACACAAACACTATTTTTATATATAGTAGGATTTTATTTATTTGCCTGAGCCTACCTGTTAATAAGCTCTAATTTTTAGAAGGCTATTTTTATTATTATATTTAATAGTTTTTAGAAGAATTTCTAAAAACTATGTAAAATGCGATAAAGATGGTTTAAAGATAATTCGGTAAAGGCCCGTACGAGAAAAAACCCTCCCCACCCGATAACGAACCAGAACTACGAAAATAATTGTGCAGACATTGCCTCTCAATAACCACAAAAATAATTTTTGACCGCAAAATTCTGAAACATTTTTTCAAAACTTTAAAATTTTTGCAATCGCCATTTCCTGGGGTATCTCCTCCAGTGCCCCAAATTCAACGTGTAACTTTCGATAAAAACGTTACGGTAATGAGCCTCAAAACTTTTCATAAAAATTTTTATTCCAGCAGCAGTACAAAAAATTTTACACGTTGAATTCGGCGCCTACGGGGGCGGATCACAACCAAGGAAATGGCACACAAAAAGAGGGGTGATTTTCAAAGGGAAATTAAATTAAGGTAAAATTAAGAAAATTGGGCGGTTTAAAGGGCCGAGCAGCAAGAACAGAATAAAATCTCGAAAATCGATTTTTGAAAGTTTTGGAAACATTTTTACGTTTTCCAAAATTTTTGGATTTCGCAAAATTTGGCTTCAAGGGCCCTTTAACCCTAATCTCTGGCACCACTTTATAAATCGGGGAATGTTTTTCTGGGATGCAAATTATTCTAATTCGTTACAGTCTCGTCGACGCGAATCGGCTCCAGCACGTCCGTCGGGTCGGAAGAGGGGCCGCTGGAAAAAAAAAAAACATGTTTCGTAAAAAATTGTTACAAATGTGTTGAGCGAAAAGTTAAGTTTTCAAAATACATCATGATAACTTACCTAGGAAAAAAATAGGAGAGAGGAGAGAGAGAGAGAAAGAGAGAGAGAGAGAGTGAGGGCTTTTTCCTCGGAATTCTATTTTTCCCCAATTTAAAATCAAGTGTTTTGAAACGGTGTTTCTAATTTCTGAAAAGAAATTTATTCCTAAATTTTGTGAGTAAACCCAAAAATATCGATTTTGCGAAGGAAAATTTATCCAAGGAAAACACCTTTTTGTAGGTATCCCAATTTTCGAACATTAAAAAGGAATGCGTTTCTAAATGTATTTTTACTATTCCTAAGACGTGTACAAAGTGTAAATTTTGGTAAAAACTCCAAAATACGTCTCTTTCGACGAACATGGTAGATTCACGATAAAAATTGAATTTTTAAGACTTTTAATGCTTTTTAAGATAGTCTGCGGCTTCGAATATAGTAAATTTTGCCAAAAACATTATTTAAAAATATGGGAAAATGGGATTTCGGAGATTTCGGAAATCCGGACAAATATGTTTCGGAAAATATTTGAAGAATGCTGGGCGGAAGGGAGTAATAATAACGGGCAACTAAACTAAATCGCAAAATCTCTTCAAAATTTTACATTTGTTTCTTGGCGGGCTAGCAGAGATCCTTAGGAATTGACCAACTACAGGGGGGAAAAAAGCGTGTCGAAGTTAGATTTTAGTTGCCCAAGTTTACTATTAGTCCCTTCCGTCTAGCATTTCTCAAGTGTTTTACGCGAAAACATATTTGTCGAATTTCGAACCTTCGAAATCCCAAGTTTTCACTTCCATTTTCCTAGTCACTAAATAATAATAAATCTCTACACATCCGCGCCGGCTAGCGGAAATCTTTTAGGAGATAAATTTTCCGGATGTAAAGGTCAAGCAAAGTTAAGGCGCTTAAAATAAATGTTTCAATGAAAAACTATTCAAGTTTCAAATTTGCTTGGCTAATAGGTATCTACTAGTCTGTCAGGTTTAAAGTAATTTTATTCTATTGAAGCGGAAAAATATCTAAAAACTGAAAACAATTTCAGATTTTTATCGAAAATGGGCCATTGTTTATAAAGAAAAGCGGATTTTTTTAATTCAGCTGTAAAGTTTTTAAGTTTGAATAGCTAAAAACCGTGAAAACACCTGTTTCACGGTTTTTAGCTATTCAAAACGTAAATCTTAGAAAAATGGGTCCTACAGAAAAAGAATGCGTTTTCCCCGTATACTCCCCGATAATGGAAAAGAGCCTATTTTCAAGGTTTTTAAAGTTTGAAAGCGAACCTGACGGGTGCCTCAAAGATGTCATCAATCTGGGTGGTGGAAGTGGGGGTGACGCGGGGCTGGGTGATGATCGTCGGCGCCGCGTCAACAATTTCCGACGCTTTCTGGGAATTAAAAGTCTAATAAATCGAGATAATAAATATATTTGCTTTTTACGAGTAGACCCCTCATAACCAAGACCGAATTAAATCCGTGAAAAAATTGGTCAAACCCTAAACTTGATGAAAGATTCATTTTTAAGTGAGTTTTAAGAATCATTCAATTAGCCGGGCAAAAGATTGCTAAATTTGATTTTTATTTAACTTAAATCTAACGTGGTTTATTGCATTTAATCGCAATTTTGGAACAATTATGCGTTTCAGGCAGGTTAAAATTAGAAAAATTAGAGAATATGTGCAATTATTACGAGTGGTTCACTGATCGGCTGTTTTCTTTGAGATTTCCCAAAATTAATTGAATTCGAGAAAGGTTAATCAAGATAAGAATATGATTTTCTAATTAAAATTTAGAGCATTTAATTTATACCTGGACGAATTCGTGCAAAACGCGCGCCTTGCGCAACACCTCGCTGTCGACGACGAATTCGAACACTTGCAGAATCGCCTGGAAAAAATACACAATTATCGTTTTATCACTGGCACATTAAAGTACATTATAATGTGTGTTTTTGATGATTTAATATTATTTAATTAATTAAAAACCTCAAAATAGAACATTGTGCCCGAATCTTCGAAATTTTTGGCAAATGAGTCTCGGTCGATTAAATGGTCCAATAGGAAAATGACTTCACAAAAAGCCGAAACATTAACTTAATGTTGAAAAACTGTTTGTATCTTTTGTTTGCGGCTAATTTCTTAAAAAAGGTTCAGTATTTACAACAATAACATTAGAAAAGCTAGTAGCACTAGCAGCATTCGCAATACATAGAGAAATGCCGATGACTCGCAATTAATCCGTATCCCATTATTTCTAGTAAGTGGCTATTATGAAACTTCTTTTCTCTTACTTTTCCCATTAAAGCGCACCTTATAATCAAAATTCTGGTAAAATCAATATTTTTGGCCTCAGTTTAACCTATCCTAACGATTGAGGCTGGGTTTTTTTTAATTTTGTAGGGAAAGGATTTGCAGAATTTTGTACAAAAAAAAAAATCGTAAAGACACAAAAATGCGCAACATTAAAACAACCAATTTTTCAAAAGCTACTGGCGATTATGAAACATATTTTTGAGAAATTTTTGAGTTATTTTGTTTCAACTGCCCTTTCAATCACCATAAAAAACATTGCAGACGCTCATTAAATTTAAAATTAGCATACCCTCTTCCGCTCCTCGACAGCCGCCTCGTCGGCCTTCCCGAAGAGCTTCGGCTGGGGGAAGTTGGGGAACGCGCCGCGGAGGTAGAGCTGAAAAACAGATGTTTCGTCAAAATTACTGAGTTTGACATTCAATTTTACAATCATTACACTTTCAGCATCGATTCGAAAACCATTAAAAATATCGTAAAAATACTTGTTTATGCAATTTGGCGAGCGCGGCCTGTAGTTTGTTGACCTCCTTGTAACGGGTAGTAATGCGGAACGTTTTCGGCTCTGACAATAGCGACTCCATCGGCATAAACTGGAAAATAAGTGTAAAAAACATGATAATATATTTTTCATATTTAAAGTTTATGCCTACTATTTATACAGATTTTCGACGGTTTCAGATTTATTGAAATCATAAGGATTGAATTTTTAAAAACATGTTTCTACTAAAAATGATACGCATCGAGCAGTGCGAGAAATAATTGGTCCAAAATTTTCATAACGATGACGTATCCAAAAAATTCTAAATAATTTTGTAGATTTTTTAGTTAAGGTTAGGATCCTTGGCCTTAGGTATTTTCGAGCAATAATTTTTGTATTATTATTCATTACCAAACGATACCTTAAACTCGAGGGTATAGGCGGTGTAGGTGACGCCGAGCACCGTCTCGTCCATCGTCGAAATCAGCGTCACCGTGCACGGGCAATCAGCTCTGCAATTTTCCATGCTTCAGTTCTTTAAGGTTGCAATTTAAAGGTCGCCTTGGGAGCAAACGCGCATTTTTGAAAAAATTCGAATTCTATACCATAGGCTGTCTGCAACATATTTTTCCTTGGCGGAAAAAACCTTGCTCGAAAAACGGCAATTTTTCTATGCTCTCTAAACATGCAAATTCTTAAAAATTCGAAATTATTAATGAAAATCGGTCATTTTCGTCGATAAATCTATTTTTTATTGCACTTTTATTAAATTTGTAAGGTTTTACGTTTAGGTGCCTTAAAAACAATTTAGAAATAGTTACTTTATTTTGTATTAGAACACTGGATCCTAATGAAAATCCGCCCCCCCCGATAATGCCAAAGCACCGATGTGAGACTTAAAAATGCATACTTTGCGCGAAAGAGGTACTTTCCCATCTGGCTGGTGCGAGAACGAGTCGTCCGGCAGCAGATTCGTCATCCTGGGCCGGCAGCTGAAGAACCCTGCAAAATTTATAGGTGTTTAAAATGAATAAATACACCGAATAATAATAGAAAATCGAAAAAATGGCGATAAAACCAGCGAAGTGAAAACCAAACATTAAGCAATTTTCGGTGCCGAACAGATGTTTCAAAACCTCCAAAAATAAGCAAAGATTAGGTGGGTATAATACCGTCACATACTTTACAGCTTAAAGGTGTTAGAAGGGGTATCGCTATAATAACTAAAAATTCGCTAAATACAAAGTGTTGACAGACGTGGAAGAAGAAGGATTTTTCGAGGCGGAACTTGCTGCCAAAAAAGTGTGTTTCAACTAATTTCAAATAAGGCAAAGTTTCGGTCAGGTCAATTCTTCACCGTCAGGGAACAGGGAAAACTCAGGGATCAGGGAAAATTGATATCGTACCAGGGTACCACAATAATATTGATTCTGGTTTAAGAAATCATTGAAATTTTGAAAATCGAAAAATGCCGAGGGAAACGGGAAGCCCGAAAAGACGGAGCCAATGAGAAAATATGCTTTCAGCCATCCCAGCGACAAAAAAAGGAAATGTTTTACACTTTCAATAAGGCAATAGCGCGGTGGTAATAACAATGTCTTATGGGCATGGTAAAAGATTTTCGATGTTTGCAAAAAAGTGTTCCAAATAAATACCAATAGTAATAAATAAATTTCTCGAAATTTCGCGGAGATGATCATCGTGAACGACAAAAATATTTTCTTTTATAGCATTTTTAAGGCCAAAATCAATGAGTTCAATATTATAAAAAAATTAGCAATTTAACTAATAAAAGAATTTAATTTAACTTAATTTAAGAAAAATTTAGATTTTTAATTCTCGAAAAAGCATGTTTCAAAATGTCTAAAAACATTGCTTTCAATGGATATTATAAAAACCTTTTAAGAGAAAATTAAGTTTTTAGGTTTTACCTTCGTCCGAATTTTAAGATGTTGCAAACATTTGTAAGAGAGGAAATTCTGGAAAAGCAAAATTTCACCTGGCATGGCGACAAATCGGGAGGCACAAAAAATGGCGTAAAATCGGAAGTTTGGCATTAGAAAGTATAAAATCAAATATTCAATTGAATATTCAAATCAGAAAAATTATGCAATTCCAGGGCCCCGCATAATTCGCTCATATTTGAGCTGATCATCGTGGAGCTCGAGGAAAACGGCGAATTTCCTCGCGTAATACTCTGCCAGATGGGGGGCCGGATCGATGGCACGGGAAATGGCGGTCATTTGGCGCTGAGCCGTATGCAAATTGGGGTAATGCCCCGCGGCTACGGTAGCCATTATCGCCCCGCCCAGCAGCATCGCATCTGGCTCACGGCATAGCAGCACACGGCAACGCGTCGCGTTTGCGATCATCTGAAAAAAGATTAACATTTTGGTACTGTACTCCTATCGGGGGGATTTTTAGCCGGATTTTTAGCCTAATGAGCCGAGAGAACGATAGAGAGGCGAGGTGACTTGACAGGCGAGAGAACGATAGAGGGAGAGGGGGAGAAAGAACGATACAGAGAGAGAGAGAGAGAAAGAGAGAGAGAGAGAGAGAGAGAGAGAGAGAGAGAGAGAGGGAGAGAGCGAGAGCGAGAGAAAGAACCAGCGAGAGAACGATAGAGAGAACGAGAGGGAGAGAGAGAGATATGGCTAAATATAAACTAATTGTATGGCAATTTACAACGTTTTTAAACATACAAAAATGCACTAAATATTGCCCCCCCCCTGCTAACAGTCCAGTACCCCAAAAAATTCGTTAATTTAAATACCACTAAATTATCTGAATCTATGCAACACTAATAATTTTTTAAAATTTAAATGATATCGTTCTTGATTCTCAATGTTATAAAATCTTTAGTCGACATTTTAAAAAGCGAAAATTTCATTTAAAGTATAGAAACCTCCTCTGTCGACTTAATAGGCTCATAGATTTTTTTTCTTTTTGATGGTACCTCGGAACATCTTTTTTCAATCGGAAATCACGAAGTTATCATTTAAGCGGAATTTAGCGCAGTTAAAAAGTTTAACCTTACATTTTTTTTGAAGACTGCAATAATAAAGTGTTGCGAAACTCAAAAAAAATGTCCAGTAAAAAGCAATAAAAATTAAATTGCGCGCAAATTAAGTCGTGTTTAATTCAGCTCAAAAAATTAATCGCTCCAAGCTTTAAAAAAATGCAGTATGCATTGAAAACATCGCTAGATTTTTTATTCGAAGTTATTTTTGGCGATGGCTTCGTATCGAAATTATTAAAATTCGACCTCAAGGGTGAATTGTTCGCTATAAAATCTCCACGAACTGCCCAATTTTTTGAAACATTCTTCTTGCGAAGAGCAAATCGTATTTGAGAAATAGTATTCACGAATTTAAATTAGCCGCCGTTCGAAAATTTCGATTTTTCTAATTGAATATATCTACCTTTAAAAGCTAAGCTATAAGCTACCTTAAATTGTTTCGATAGAATTATAAAACCGATCTGCAGCTATTGATAATCGAAACAATTTTTTCGCATGATTGTGTACAGCCAAAACAAATTTCTTAAAAGATAAAATCGAAAGCGCGGCTAAGAATTCTTTCAAATGTAGATAATTCTAGGTTCTTAGAAAACCATCTATTAATTTGGTTGCTCTATTCGCTTTAAAACCATAGAAATGTACAAAATAAATAATGATACGAATTTAAGCACTGGAAAAATAAAATCTGTTTTTAATAGAGAGTTATGGGCGCAAAAATAAAAATTAGCCCCCCCCCTAACAGTCCAGTGCCAAAATTTCAATAAAGCTTTAAAAATGCAATATTGTTGAAATTTCGTTAATTTTTCAATGATATTCGAATTTAATTTAAATTATTCAAAGGTATTTTCGGGGATCGTGTAGTTTGTGAAAATTGTTAACCTTCGATCTGAAGGGAAGATTGTGCATTAGAAAATCTCCACATACTGCCCAATTTTTGAAACATATATCTTGTAATCAAGAATTTTGGGAAATAACGTAATTACGCTAGCATCTAATTGGAATTTTATAAAGAGTTAGGTTGATTTTATCATCAAAGCTATAAACTATATATAAAATTTACAAATTCTTTGACGTTGGATTGGTCTTTAAAATGTGATTTTGCTGACAAGTTTAAGATTTTATGAGACAAATCCGGGTGCCGATTAGAAATACACAATTTTGCGCCACCCAAATTCGGGTCAAAACACCTTTTTGGGAAAAATTTGGAATATTTGGGAGACCTGAACAACGCACAAAATCCCACCGGTAGATACATCTACTATTTTTGAAACACCTCTCTTGTAACCAGGAATTTTAAGAAATCACCTAATTTGCCTTAACAGATAATTGAAATTTAATAAAGATTTTGCTTGACTTTAGAATTACAATTATCAAATATATAAATGTTTACAAATTCTGCGAAATTTCAACTTGTTCTAAAACGTGATTTTGCTCCATTTAAATCACTACATCCATTGGAAATGAAAAATTTTCTGCCGCTCCACTTCCCTTTCAAAACACATTTTTTTAAATTGGTAAAGATGGAAACCTGTTTCTTAAATTATTAAATTCTCAAAACCCCACTCGTTCATTCAAAGTTAATAACGATTTTGTTTGACTTCAGAATAAAGTTTAAAAAACGTTACAAATTTTGCGTGATGTTTTGGAATGTGCTTAAAATTTGTTGCTTATAGAACTACAATAATAAAATGTATAAATCTTTACAAATTCTGCGAAATTAGATACGTTTTCAAATGTGCTTAAAATGTGCTGCCAAAATGTCGGCGTAGATTGGAGATCCAAGATTTTGCGCCGCTCCACTTCGCGTCAAAACACATTTTTTGAATTTTTTTTTGGAATTTTAAGAAACTGAGAATTCTCAAAATCCCACCTGTAAATACAGCTCGTTCCGCGCCAACCCTCCGGACACCACAATTTCCCGGATGCGGTAGCCGGCCGAATTTAGGGTGTTAATAATATGGCGATGGCCGAGGGCAATTGCCTGGCAAGTGGCCAGGTATTGTATCGCCAGCTGGGGTACGGCATTGTCCAGAGTACAGCCGTGTAGGGCGCCTTTTAGGCTAGAATTTGCCCTCGGGGACCGATTGCCGTGGTGGTACGGTAGTACGTGGAAGTCTTTGGCCAAAAAGTGCCAGTCTAAATTTTCATGTTTCGCCAAATCCAGGATCAGATTGTTGAGGTATTCCGGTAATGCCATCCCGCAGGTAGAGGCCAATTTTTGACACTCAGAATCACTGGCGAACAGCGCGTCTATTAGTGCGCCAGTGACACTTTGCCCGGCTTCATTTAGGTGGTATTCCGGGAGTATACTGCCGTAATACGGGCCCCAGATACCTTGGATAAATCGCGGTGCCTTTGATAGGGCCATCAAACAATCCGACGTGCCACAGATGAGTGAAACACGATTTTGGAAAATTTCCGAGTCCTTTTGAGGCATATTTTGTGCGAACTCTTCCGATTTTAGCGTGTCGGTATTTTGACGCGGTGTCAAATTTGTAGGAACTTTATCTGAAGCACATTGTTGGCGTTGAGCTGAATTTTCGGGAAAATTTAGTGTTTCATCTTTTGCTGATGTCGATGTGGAAAAATTCGAAGTAGTTCGTTGTCTTATTTCCGCTCGCAGTGGTTTTAGAGTGTTTGAGGTATCTATCATATCGCTCGGCATTTCTGATGCCATCAAATTCGGGGAATTACCCGGAAAATCTTTTGCCAAATTTTCTGGGGAAATATGTGTTTCGAATTTTGAAGTCAATCTCGATTTTTCGAGATCCGTAGTGTGCACTTTCTTTGGATGATGAATTTTTGGATCAGTTTCTCCCTTATCGATCGGATTTGTCGATATTTCGGGATTTCCAGGCTTTGGTGTCTGACCTTCCTGATTTTCCAGGCCTTCCTGGTCAGCTTCAATATTAAGGGGAGCCTTAGGACTTTCTGGAAATTTCGAAAAATTGGATGTTTCATCTTTCGAAGAGTATCGCGAACTTTCGGCGTTCTTAATGATCTGTTGACTGGGGTGGTATATTTTGACTGCATCGATCGAGTTTTTCGATGTATCGAGGTTTTCTATATTTGCTACCGGCTTTTCCTTATTTTCCAAATTTTCCTGGTCAGCTTCAGGTTCTGTGGAAATCTCAGGATTTTCGGGAATTTCCGAAAAATCCAATGTTTCAGGTTGTAAAGTTAATCCATGTTTTTCACAAATTTGAATATGATCTCTTGCTGGAGATTTTCCCGATCCCTCGTACACGCACCAAGGAGTTTTCGTATTTTCAGGAAATTTCGGAAAATTTGAAGTTTCATCTTTCAAAGGTATGTCAGATTTTTTGTTGAATTTACTGCTCTTCCTTCCTTCATACATTTCTGATTCTCGGTTTTTCGCACCAAAATCCGTGGAACTGTCCTTCTTTTCGGGAAATTCCGACAAATCCAATGTTTCAGTTTCGGATGTTAATCCAAATTTTTTTGAATGCGGTATTAACGCTTAGGTTTCTGGCTCCAATCGTTCCCAACGTCCCTGCATGGGCATCAATTATCGAAATGGCCACTTTAACATTTGAATGGAGCCCAAAAACTTTGGCCAATCCCGGCAGCAAATCCCCTGCCGTAGCGCCAATATTCCCTATATGACGCCCAATTTTTACGGCCTCATACTCGAGCAAATCCTCTAGGCTTAACGCCCCGAAGAATTCAGGATCCCATCGATTTTCTTCGGCCAAATATGTCCATTTGCAAGTTGCGGAACATATTGAGCGAATGTCACGCCCGGTGGCTCGATACGTCAGGAAATCGGGCAGATCCATGAAATAGCCTGCGTTACGGTAGGTGTCCGGGTTATTCTCGCGTAGCCACAGCAATTTTGGGATTTGCATCTCGGGGCTGAGGCGGCCGCCGACGTATTTTAGCACGTTGTGATTGCCGGAATTGATTAGATCGGCCTCGGCTTTGGCTCGGTGGTCCATCCACATTATAATATTGCGGTGGGCGGGGCCTAAAAAGGGGGTAAAACTCGATTTACCGGCATATTTCCAATTTTCATAGTTCCAAATTTCCAAATTACATAATGCCGAATTACCATAAACCAGAATTTTTATAGTATTTTATAGTATTCAACCATTTTATAGTATTTTACATAGTTTTGAAATATGAAAATTATTTCAAAACATAGTTTTCCAACCGTTTTTCAATTTCAATTTTTATTTAAAATGTTTCAAAAAATGTAACAAACTTGGAATTTTTGCACGAACTAGTCGGACTTTTTTTTGACGGAAATTTTATAAGGATCGGCACCAGTTACTGCCGAAAATTAATACAGGGCAAATATATGCAGAAAAAACATGAAGAAGGAGGGTTTTATTAAAACCTAACTTAATTCTTATAAAAATTCTCGACAAATGAGAAGGGAGAAATCGAGGCGGACTGCTATTTAATTTAATTTTGGATTTGAGATGTTTCAAAAAATGTACACATCTTGGAATTACTGCACCAACTAGCTGGCAACAACAACTGACACCGGCTTGCGTCAAAGTAATTTAAAGATGAGGCTTGGCACCAGTTACTCTCGAAATTAATGCAGCTCTAAATATCATCTGAAGCAAAAGTATAAACATGACGAAGGAGGGTTTTTATTAAAACCTAAATTAATTTTTATAATAAATTCTCGACAAATGAAAAGGTCAAAATCGAGGTGTCAAATCTCCAATTTTCATTTAATTTTGGAATTAAGATGTTTCAAAAAATGTAAAGATCATGGAATCTTGGAATTCCGGAGTTACGGCTCAGTTTTCATTTCTCATTTCTCATGTAAGGTTACGCGTTTTCGACAAACTCGTTTTAATGCCGCAATTGTGAAAATTGGAGCAAATCCCATCAATTTTAACGATGATTTTACTTTTAAGTTTAATTGTATTTATAACGCGTTTTAAACCAACCAACCGTCCATTGTAGCCGGTAGTGGCTCTCCATTTTCACCCAAAATCACCAGCGAACACGTCGCGTCGAAGCCGATCCCCTGCAAAGAATGGAGAATTTTTACACATCGAGACCTGATTGCTCAAAAACCAAAATTTTGAGATCGCCAAATCAATGAAACATTTTGGCACTGCAGCATTTTAGCGAGGGAGATGATTTTTGCTTACTCGCATATTCCTACCTGTCAATAAATGATAACCTATTTTTTATCGTGTTTTTGATAATTTTTAATTACAGGGACATTATAAAAAAGCTTAAAAATATTGAAAATCCGAAAGTTTTGACTTTTTTGGTCATTTTGATCCATTTGAGCAATTAGTCAACATTTTTCGTAACCGATAATGCGCTAAGTGCATTTTATCCCTAGAAACTGTGTAAAATGCTATAAAATTGGTTTACGAGCTCAATGTTTTTAAAGAAACAGACACAAGTAGAGATGAAATCGCTCAAAAGTAAAAATTTTGAGTTCCGTAAATCTATGAAACATTTGTTTACAAACCAATTTCTACCATTTTTTGTTAATCCCGGACGTAAATTCTGGGAAGACGCAAAAAATATAGTGGGGAAAAGTTTATAATAGAAATTCAAATGGGCTTAAACGGCCGTGCTTCTTTCTATTTTTTATTTTTTACTTTCTCTCTTGTTTTTGGACTTTACAAAATTGTGTTTCAGCAATTTTCAAAGATTCAACTTGTAAATGCAGTCTACTGCGTTATACGATAAATGCGAAATCTAAGATTTCTCTTCACTCACTAATATCTCGGCTCGCGGCACCTCTTTGGCACGGTTCAAAAGTTCCGTGACTGTATTGCATACGGCATGCCAAATCTCGTCGGACGACTGCTCGGCGTGCTCGGGTTTCGGGCGGAAAATCTGCAAATCTGGATTTTAGCAGGTCAGAAAATTGGGGGGTTTCATGAGTTATTGTAGTTTCTACGCGATTTTCTGATTCCGAACCACCTATTTCGGCTATAAAAATAAAAATTCAAATTTATAATCAATCTGCTAGCAGGGATCCGTTAGGAAATCTCGGAAATTCAGATAATTAAGAAAAATCCAAAATTAATTCAAGCCTTCAATTCGAACTGAAGATTCTTGAACAATCGCAAACGATTGCGCTCCCAAAAAATGAAACAATTTTTTTATCTTGCAATTGGTGAACTTTAGAAAGTAAAAATACCTGGATAAAAATACCAATATATCGATTGTTCGACCATAATTTAAACATTTTGTTTTTTAATAAGTTGTTAGTCAGTTTTCGCCGTCAGATGCACCAAAAATTAACATACTCACTGAGCACTGCAACAGGAAAAACTTCCGAAAACAATAAAAAACACGTTTCTAGCCGGATAGGATACACGTTAGACAAATTTTAATGAATCGGGAGTCGCGTTCGAGTTCTGCTATTTTCCGATGCAACGAAATTGATAAACATTGCAGCTTTCGGGCACGGCGAAATAACAGAAACACACAAAAGGCGCCCCGGAAAATCAATATCGTGTTTATTCCGGCATTTCCCCGGTTTTGGCAATTTTCCAGAGGGTCTTTCGCATTATCCGGGGGGTTTAGTAGGATCAAATTTTTCAAATAAAAATTGAAGAATTGTTTCTAAACTGTTTTTTACTATTCCTAAGCTTAAAAACTTTACAAATTTAGTCTAAAAACACAAAAATTATCGATTTTTAGACAGGCGCATTTTAAAACAAAATCTCAAAAATGCCTACGTTTTTATTGTATTTGTACTTAAAAATATCGCTAAAATTTTGAAAAAAAAATTGCAATTTCAAAGAAGCATAATTAATAAAAGCCAAGTATTAATAGAAGAAATTCGCGCGCTAATATTATTGAAACGTGCACATCATTGAACTTTCTAATAAATGAAACACATAAATTCGCTTTTATAAAGTTCTAGAAAAGTTGAGTTTCATCAAAAATTCGCACTCAGCAATCACCTTTCACTACAGGGTGGCCAGAAAAAAAAGTGCCTGGTTTGCACTGAAATATCTCACTAACGGAAACGAATCGGACCATCGTTACCTTGCCAGAATGCTTAGATATGCTGGGTATGAAGAATAAACACAAGTTGTTTTTTAAGATTTTTGACGACCAGTGGGTCGTTAAAAATTTTTGAACATTTTTGAAAAAGTAGTAAACTTTGAAGAGGAAAATCATGGACCTTTTGATGAGTTAGGGGGACATGATGGGTATCAAAATGAAGCTCTCGGAGTGCGCTATCAAATCAGTGGCAAAGAATATTGATCGGTTTAACAGCCGTCAAGAGGAGCATTCGGAAAATCGGCACTTTTTGCGGGAATAATTCCAGATAAATTTTCTTTACCATCCGATCATTCTGATATTTTGCATTTAGCAATGGATAGATAACTACTAAATTTCGGCGTCAAGGTTTTGAAAATCCCGATCAAAAAAAATTTTGGCACTTTGCCAAGTCGACGGAATTTGTGACTTCTACGCTCCTATAGTTTAGAATGTGACATATCTATCTTTGGCAAGCATTATTGCATGTAGCAAGTACAAAAAGTTATGGCGACAAGGTGCTTTTTATCGTCAATTGGGAATGGCCCCTTCTGGAAAAACGCCGATTTTCCGAACGCTCCTCTTGACGACTAGTTTAACCGATCATTATTCTTTGCCACTGATTTGATAGCGCACTCCGAGAGCTTCATTTTGATACCCATCATGTCCCCCTAACTCATCAAAAGGTCCATGATTTTCCTCTTCAAAGTTTACTACTTTTTCAAAAATGTTCAAAAATTTTTAACGACCCACTGGTCGTCAAAAATCTTAAAAAACAACTTGTGTTTATTCTTCATACCCAGCATATCTAAGCATTCTGGCAAGGTAACGATGGTCCGATTCGTTTCCGTTAGTTGAGATATTTCAGTGCAAACCAGGCACTTTTTTTTCTGGCCACCCTGTACAATGCGGACAACCGTTGACAGATTGATCCAAGTCCGACGAGGACAAAAATGCCCGACAAAATCAGAAGAGATAGCAGAGATGCTTTAGGTGAATTACTGAATAGCTAAAAAGGAAACAGGTCAACAAAGATTATTTGAAAATCATCGGCCTCAGTATTCCGATAGGATGCAACATTAAAATTTAAAGAAGTAAATTTATGGAAAGCCAAGAATCGATTTGGATTTCATCTCGTTCGAGTATTATGGAAAGGTGTACCCCGTTGGACTTTCTCCTAAATGAAACCCAAAAACTTGCTTTTTAAAAATTCCAGAAAAATTGAGCTTCATCAAAAAGCTGGACTGAGAAATCCCATTTCACCTCAATGCCACAGCTTTATTGTTATTGGTTCATTCAAGGTGTACGCTCTATTTAAATATATTTTATGTCCGTTATAGTTTTGTTATATCATCTATTTTTTTGATGTTAATGAAAAATAACTACCGTTATGTCTTTCGAAGTCTGGCCGAATTTCTCCCCATTTTCGTTGAAGAGCCCGGCGCGAACGCTGGCACTGCCAACGTCGACCCCGATGAAATACGGCATCAAATAATTCTGAAAGAATCTGCTATAAATCAAGGATTTTTAAATGAACCATTCGTTTAAAACAAAACCATTAAATATTAGTTAAGAGCCCGGAATACCGTAAATGTTTCGCCCAAAAAGTTAATTTTGGGATTAAATAAACGAGTGATCGACTGCTTAAATTGCGGGTAGATGAATAGCATGCATACCGCCGCGTTAATGTTGTTTATTATCTTTTAATAGTTAGTTGAACAATTCGTGGGCAAGATTAGGCAAATCTATAAAGAAACTTGATAAAAATTTGATGAAACATAAAATTTTACCCAAAACTTACTTTTTGCATTTTCCTTCCCTATAGGCTAATCCGTTCTTCACAAAAAAATTCAGTTAAAAATCCGTGTTTCCCAATAACGGCATTTGCTTTCCATATAGATCTTTGCAATATTATTTGATACTATCGCGACAAAAGTCTGGCTGAACGGAATGCTCAATTTTCAAATTTACCTTAAAAAATTGATGGTATAAATCGAATCATCGAAAAAGCCCTATCACTAAATTCATGCGCACACGAGCAGCCAGAAAAATGGACGAAACATTTATTTTTTTAGGGAGAATCTTGTCAAACAATGTTTCGCTAATTCCGCTAAAATGTCGTCGTTTTTCGGTGTGAATAGATTACCGAATTCGAACTTGCTAGTTCGCTAGAGAAAAACCGAATCTAAAAACAAAGCAAATTAAAAATTTAAATTCAAAGGCTACATTTAAAAACTGCTAAATGTCCATCGCGATCGAGTTAATTTAATTTTAGTATAGTTAATCCCAGAGCCGATTTTTAAAAGAGTTTTTCAAAAACAATCGTTTGGTCCGTCAACCTTTACAAATTTTTTAATTTAATTTATTTTTTATTTTAATTTTAATTTTTTATTCGCTTGAGACTTACATTTAATTTAATCCGATGAGTACTCCATATACGCAAAATTAAATTAAAAAGCCGAAAAACCCCGAAAAGCTGATGAAAAAGACGTCACTCGAATTCTCGTCAATCCCGTTGTAAAATGCTTATTTTTGATGAAACACATATTTCTCAATTTTTCAAAAGTCGATTTAAGAAAAACACGAGAAAGTATACGTTATTGATCATATCAACTCGCCACAAAAATCCCTCACAGCATATCGTTAAAAATTCTTTATTCGCAAAAATCTCAAAACACGACAAACAAATCAGGACCCGTTTTTGGGTTGATTGGGGGTGGGCGCACGGTCTAAAATTTACACAAAATTCAACAAGGTAAAATTAAGTAAAAGAAAGGGCATACGGTATCGGTTTAAAGGGACCGGGAAGTGGGGGATAGCCTTGAAAATTGATATTAGAAATTCAAACAACAAAATTACAACTTCTCTCTTAAAGTTAAAGTTACTCCGCTAAGCTTTCTGGGCCTTTTAAACCGGTGACGCCATGTAAATCGGGGCGCTAACCCCGATTAGGGTAACGGCTTAAAGGGACTCCCGGAAACCGGAGCGAAGAGTTTCAAATTGAATTTAAATAACAATAAAAGCAAAACAAAAATTTTACAACATTTTTAGCCAATTTTGCACGACTTCCCACGCCCTTTAAATCGATTACGACAGGTAAAACGCGAAATTTCACAGGGCGATATGCGAGGGAGAATGAAGGTGGTGGAGCAACAACAAGGTGAACTCGATGTACACGGCACAACAGATGACGGGGCACAGTAACCCAAAAAATTCAATTTAAATTTAAAATGGCTACAGTAACCGGGACGGATTTTCGAACGTTTTTGACCAGAAGAAAAATTTAACTCTTCAAAAATAAAAGTAAAATTTAAATTCCAGAAACTCGAAAAATCTGACAACTTTAAAGGGACCGGTAAGGCTAGGGGGACCGAAGAATTTTAACCGCAAAATTTACATTTTTATTGGCACAACGTCGAGAAATCCACAATTTTCAAAGAAAAAATTCGTCCCAAATTCCAACAAAAAATTTGTTTCAGACTTTGGCCGAATGGTAGCGTGCTAGACTCCCAGGCACACGACCCGAGTTCGATTCCCGGGGCGCCAAATTTTTTGCTTGTTGCTGAAAAATGTGGGAGATGAATTTTTTCTTATAAAAAGTAGATGAACAACATGCGAAACACGTCTATATAGCAATCTAGGCTGAATCTAGAGCTTCGACTGGGCGGCGGCGGCGGCGGCAGATTCGGCAGGCGTCTTGCCCAACGTCTCGGTGAAGAGCGAGGCGCCGGGCGGGGGAAGGGCCAACTTGGGCGCGGGCAGCGCCCACATCGGCAGCTCGGCGCGCAGACGGTCGCCGCACGAGATTTCGCGCTGAAAACGGTAATTAGAAATGAAACAAACATTACACAAAATCCTCCTAAATAATCCTAATCCCAAAATTAAAAGGTAAAACGCTAATTCGCCCCTTTAGACTACGCAGAAATTGCTAATTACAGTCGATAGCGCCGTAGACTCACGAAATATCAAAATTGGAGAATCTAGTCAATAATCAAAGCAGGACATCAAGTCCTGAAAGGCAAAAATGGTTCTCTGGCATTATCGGGGGGTCTGAGTGTTTCCTATTAGTCCAGAAATGCCTAAAACCGTAATAGTAAGTGTTTTAGTAGTGTAGTAAACTGTAGCAATATTTCAAGTGGAAAACAATAAAAATTAAAAAAATCGTCTAATTGGTATTTAGTTAGAAAATCGGTTAATTTGGATAGAAAATCGATATTTTTTCGTTGATTTAAGGAGTATTTGTAAAGCTCTTGCGCTTAGAAATAGTAAAAAAGCGTAGAAACACAAAATCCTACTATATATAAAAAAATAGTGTCTGTGTGTGTGTGTGCATTTGCAAGCAACTTCCGTGAGGATGTTCCGCACCTACAGCCTCAGGGAAGCATTTTTTCGGTAGTGAAGAAACGTCATTAGGTAAAGAAGGGTCCGGAATCGACTGCATGCACATAAAATCTTTGAAAAATTGCTATTTTCGCTATTAAAAACCAATTTTTGTAAAATTCTCGCCCACCCTCTTTGTTAGGGATCAATTAGCATAAGCCGGAAGTCGGAGAGCCTATAGAAAACGACAGAGGAGCCGTTTTTCACTTTTTTTCCTGATAGATTTTGGGGAAGAAGCATGCAAATTGAAGACTTTCATCGGTCCTAGACGGGGCCAGGGTTGAAAAGCCGCGAAGCGGTTTTTCAACCCTGGTTCTAATAAAAAAATCGAAGGATTATATCCGTAGAAAAATGGTTGCCCGTCCCCCGAAAATGCGAAAGAACCCAGAGAAACAGCCACAGCCACCGTAGCTCGAGTCTCGTTAATTGCAAAAACATGTTACGATTTTTTGCAAGGGCTTGAGGGGGTTTCGAGCTAATAATTGGCTGCAACTAGACATGTTAAATACTGGAAAACGATACCTTTGGCTGCTCGGGGCGCTTGGCCTCGAACGTCTCCTTCGTGTCGGCGTTTGAGTGGACCATCACTGAAAAAAATCTGCTTCAAACGGCATCAAAAAATCACATAAAACCGCCTTAAACTGATATTTTAGGGTCTAAAAACAGAATGTTTTTCAACATAATCAAAGTAGCACAATTTTAAAAAACAAAACGCACCGACAAACTTGCGACGCTCCGCCCCATCTCGGCGAATCTTCTTGTCGAAAAAGGCGATCAGCTCCTCCTTGGTCACCTCACGCAGCAGGGCCACCTCGTCTTCGGCTGAAAAGAACAAAAAAAAAATTATTACAGGAACTGCGGACAAAATATATGTTTCTTGCGAATCCGTGACTACGTCTTTTAAGGATCAATTAATACTTCGTTATCAGTGCGTTGTAGCAAACCCAGATTCCTAATTAACTTTTGCTAGCTTGCCCCGAGCTAGACGATTATACGAAAAAATTGTCAAAGCGTTTCTGCTCGCCTGCCATGTACCTCAATTTGAGCGGCCTTAAATTTTTTGAACATGTTACAGAAAAATCCGTAGTTACGAACAGCAGATCAGAGATAATAATTTATTGATGGAAAAAAAGGTCACTGCTAGCCTGCCTTTTGTTAAAGATTTTTTAAGAGAAGCATCGCGAGCCGCCTTTCCTCAAATAATCGGTTCTGAACTCGTAGCGGGGGGGGAGGGATTTTGCAGTGATGGGAACCACTTTTGGTTTTTAAATCTATGCTGTATCTGTTGATGATATATTATGTATTTTAATGGTTTTTGATTGCTAGAAAGGACTCTCTTAATTTAATTAACCGGCCGTTAGCCAGAATTAACCGGCCGTTAGCTAGAATTAACCCGCCGTTAGCTAGAATTAACCCGCCGTTAGCTAGAATTAACCCGCCGATAGCTAGAATTAACCCGCCGTTAGCTAGAATTAACCCGCCGTTAGCTAGAATTAACCCGCCGATAGCTAGAATTAACCCGCCGTTAGCTAGAATTAACCCGCCGTTAGCTAGAATTAACCCGCCGTTAACTAGAATTAACCCGCCGTTAGCTAGAATTTTTAGAATTTAAAGGGCTGCCGACGGCATGTGTCGATCCCCCCATCAACAAATTGGCAAGTAGCCAACAGGGCAGAGAGCGCGCCCAGGGGAGAGGCGCAGAGACATTTTCTTTCCAGCGCGTAACCGATTGACGTATGCCGCCCCTATCCCTTTAAGGAATTTAGAGAAATTTTTAACATCGCCTTAAATTTTCGAAAAAAAATTATTGTTTTGTATTGTTTTGATACCTAAAAACTATGCAAAATGCTAGAAAATGATTGGTGTTTGGTTGTAATGGTTTATATTTTATTAGAGGGCCGCCGAGAAACACAGGATTTGCCCCCCGCTAACCGTTCAGAACCAAATGATCACTGCTAGCTGCCCTGCCGCCTTCGAATTATACGTTTTTATTAATTTCCCAAAAACGATTTTGATAAAGCCTCTCATTTTCCTAGATGAATTCTGCTAGACTGCCCATTCAAAGCCGCTTTTAATATAAAAATTAAAAAATAGAGCTCCTCAAGGAATCTCTGCTCGCTTGCCCGAAAAATACCAAAAACCTTCGCGAAAATCGATACCTCGGTTAAAGTGGAATTCGCGGTGCGCAATCTCGCTCCACAGCTTGTTGTAGCGCTGCTTCAGGTTTTTCGGCTTCTCGAGGCGCTGAAAAAGCAGGTATAATTAATTTAAAATCAAAAGTTATACCTTATTTGCCAGCGCGTCGACGTGGTCCTTGAATTCGGTGTCGGGCATGTCGACGATCATTTTCTAAACAAAAGAATTTTCGGAAACTCCCAGTAAGCAACCTTTAATTAGCAATTTCAAAAAATCAATATGGCAAATACTCAAAGCTACTATTTTTCTAGAACAAAAATTAGAGAAGATGCATATTTTTCCGCTGAAAAGTATATTTCATCAAAAAAAATCAAAACACTAAAAAAATTTGGATAGAGGCAATCTCGTGTTTCGTGTGCATAACTGCCTAAATTTAAATACCATGCTCTCTACTACAGGCTCACAAATTTTCAATCGCACGTTTCAAAAATGTGAAAAACTTTGTTTAAGCTTTTGCGCGAGATTCAGAGTGAAATTGAGAAGCTTGAACTGCTTAAAATCGATGTATCATGATTTTTCAAAATCAGAAAAAATATGTCTCAGTGATCTAAAATATGTCTCACAAAGTGTTTTATTGCCGGCAACGCTAGGAAATAAGAACATCATCAAAATCACCATACCCGTGCCACCTCCAAATAGTCCTCGATGCGCTCCTCGACAAAGTCCGGCTCCTTGGGGCCCTGCACGCTGAACTCCAGGCTCTGCACGCCGTTGTAGCGCTTCGGCATCGTGTGGCACAGGTAGCCTGCAAATTCGGGACATATTTAAAAGTTTATACAATTCGTATTCTGAACCAAAATCAATTTCAAAAACGTAATTCAATTCAAATTCACGTTTTTCCGCTTTACCACCTCAAAATGCTGGGGATGTCATCCAATCCCGCATATTTTTGTCGGCGCAAAAAATTCGAAGGTTTTTGGATCGTTAGTTGGTAGGTTAGCAGAGGTTTTTTCGGAAATACCGACGACCTAATAAGAATTACTAGCTTGAAAAGGGTCCCTTTAAGAAAATACTATTGTTGCTTTTATTATTACGAATCTAATATGAAAAAAAAATGTTTTACTGGCCAATCTGCTCAAATTATCCACAAATTGATGTAATCTGACTATGTGACAGTCACAAAAATAGATTAAACAGATAATTTTATGATAAATGCGCATAATTTTTCGGTTTGTTCGCATAAAATGAAATGAATGAAAACTGAAACTGAGACTCAAAAATAAAAAAACTAGCAATTCTTTTAAGTGAAATTTTGATCGAAATCGATCGAATCGATTTTTTTTGTATTTTTTCATAAAAATTTGTAGATTTTTTACCTTTTAGGAATAGAAAAAAACGTCGAGAAACACTCCGCTATTTATATCAGGAAACTGGTGGCCCTCTTTGGAATTGTCGGTTTATAGGCCAGCCGAGGTTTTGTAAGAAAAACCAATACCCCTAATAAGGATTACTAATTTGAAAAGGTCGCTCAAAAATCGGATTATTATTTCTGATTCCCGCCCGCCTAATCGAAAGAAATGTTTTTCGATCCCATAGGTTCAAAGTTTCTCGAACTGACGTAATTGTAAGAGCAAAAGCAAAAGAAATACATCTAAAAAAGCATAAATTTCCTGCTCACCCAGCTGCTGGTTGGTGCGCAACTCGTTGAACGCGTGCTCGTGCAGCATCTGGATCAACAGCTCGAAGACGACGTTCTCGCGGCTCTCCTGAAAAAGGAAAAGTTTTAGAGCCCGGAAAAACGGCAAATTACCTCGACACCGACTTGCAGCACGAAATCGACGCACGAGGCGGGGTGAACGTCTTGGTAGTGACGATAGCAGTGCTCGCTTTCTGGAAATGATGGGAATAGTGTTGAAAGACATAATTTCGGTGCTTTCGCAGTATCAGGGGGGGCGCTTTTTTGTAAACGTTTAGAAATGTCTAGTAACTTAAAAGGAAGAGTTTTAAAGGCGTTTTTAGCAAAATAAAACTTTATTTCAGCTCGAAAAACTTTTAAAAAGGCGGAATTTTGGTCGAAATCGGCCATTTTTTTGATAGAAAATCGATATTTTTTTATTTTTTTTCATCAAATTTGTAGAATTTTCACGTTTAAAAAAAAAAAAACAGCTTAGAAACAATTCCAATATTAATATGGCAAAAATTGAATCCCAAAAAAAATTGGTCCCCCCGATAATGGAATGATACCCACAAAACTAAAACTCACGCGCTGGCAGCTTGTACTCTCGGCGCAGATCAATCTCGTTGTCAAAGACCGGCCGAGGGGTACGGTGCGCAACTCGGCGAGGACGTCACGGGCAAGTTTTGCCCTCTTCCACGACATTCCCGTGGACGAACACCTCGACGTGGAAGCGACGGAGGGCGCTGGCGATGAACTCGTCCATGTCGCCCATCGTCAGTTCTGGAATTGCGGGCTGAGTTAGCGGCAGATAAGAAGTGCCAAATTCCGCCCCATTAATCGAATGGGTATAGACTACGCGGAGCTCCAAAAGACGCACTAGAGGCCATAAACAATTAACCGCAAAAATACGTTAATTTAGCCTTCTACGTCATTTTGAAAATATAGAAAGTTGATAAAGAAGGATTTTTTTAATTAGTATTTGGTCAACAAGGCCTGAAAATGAATTGTTTTTCGCGATAGGCGTGGCAAGATTCCCCCTTATGAATTTTTCGGCCTTCGGCCGATTTGGGGGGGGGGGGCAACTTGCCCCAGTTGCCCCCCCCCCCACCTACGGGCCTGGTAACGATAGTCAGGAAGGTTTTCGGAAATTTCTGAATTTCCACAAAAGGGCATGCTAGCAAAGGTCATTAGGGAATGAGACCAAGAAGTACAAAATTTCGAGAGAATCTAGATAAATTTAGATTTAGATTAATATCTAGATACCTTGAAGGCAGGCGAACACCTGCTGCTTGGACCACGCCCGTTCCGTCAACAGCAATGAGTGGAAGTGGGCAAGCATGGACGAGAGCTGGCCCTTCCAGTA